GCCCAGCTAAGGAGCTAGGATTTCCTTGTTTTATTTATTTATTTATTTGGCTGTGCTGGGTCTTACTTGAGGCACCTTCGGCTGTGGCATGCAGAATCTCATCCCCTAACCAGGGAACAAACCCTGGGCCCCTGCATTGGGAGCTCAGAGTCTTAGCCACTGGACCACGAGGGAAGTCCCTGGGGTTTCTCTAACTGGGGAGAAAGAAGAGAATGGATTCCTGAAGCCAGCTGGTTGTGTTTACTCCAAGATGTTACAGGGAACAGGATGAAAGTATTTTCTAAGAGAGGAAATCAGCGTGTACACTTATCCGACTCTTTGCAACCCCATGGACTATAGCCCGCCAGTCTCCTCTGTCCATGGAGTTCTCCAGGCATGAATACTCGAGTGGATAGCCATTCCCTTCTCCAGGGGATCTTCCCAACCCGGGGATGAAACCTGCATCTCCTGCATTGTCTTCTGCATTGGCAGGCGGATTCTCCACCACTGAGCCACTGAGGAAGCCCCCCTCTGGTTTCACAGTACACACACCTCTCTTTTGGCCATTAAGGGAAAAAATGTCTTTACCTCTTTCGTCTCATGAAAGATTTGAGGTTCCTTAGTTGGCAGTTTCCTATTGACTACACTGACACAGCTTACCTCTCTCTCTCCCCAGTCCCCACCCTGTCTTGGAGTTCCAAGCTTCCGGAGTTCCAAGGCCATGGCCCAGAGTCCACAGGAAGCATTCCCTCCGTTATAGTAGCTTCAAGGTGCCTCGGCATTTCCCTAGAGGCAGACTCCAACAGTCTTTCAGATCTTTGGCCAAAGAGTGAGTTTCAACACCCCCCTACCCTCACCATGCCCTCCCTGGACATCCACTGGGAGAGCCTGGACAGCCCCCTCCTGGTCTGACCACTGGCCACAAAGCAGCGTCTCTGAGTTTGTCTCCGCCTCCGCACCTTGCCGTCGGCGGGGTGCTGGGGGTGGGATGCTCCAGGAACGTAGGAGCCTCTGGACATCAGCCTAAACCGCGCATCATTGGGAAGGGAAAGTTGCTGGGGGAAGCAGAGGGAGATGGACAGCCCCTACCGCCCTCCAGAATCACTTACACATGCCTCCGTGGTATCCTCAGCCTGGGATTTCCCCTGCCATCAGGGCCACAGCTGGAGGTTGACTGAGCAGTCAGGGGAACAAAAGGGAGCAGAAACCTCGTGGGCTTTGGAATAAGGAGTGAAACATATGCCCTCCCCTGCAGTTCTCTCAAGACAGCAGAGGTCGGCAAACTTCTGGAAAGGACCAGAGAGCCAACGTTCTGCTTTGAGGGCCGTGTGGTTGCTGTTGCAACTACCCAACTGTCTTCTTGCAGCAAAAATGGCCCCCAGCAGCCCGTCCATGAATGACCGTGGCTGAGTTCCAATAAAACTTTATTTGCAAAAACAGGTGGTGAGAGAATCCCCTGGCGGTCCAGTGATCAGGACTCTGCCTGCGCCACTGCAGGTGTAACAGGTTTTATCCCTGGTTGGGGAACTAAGATCCTCATATACTGTGCATCGTGGCCAACCCCCCCCCCCAAAAAAAAAAAACAAAACAAAACCCTGAAACAAACCCAAAAAACAGGTGGTAAAGAGATTTGGCCACTTGTTGCGGTCCTTTAACGGGCTGGAACCTGGTGGTCCAGAGTTGACGATAAGAAAGCGAAAGAGAGAAAGAAGCTGATACTCCCTGGTTTATGCAGAGAACCAATAAAACCCTAGAACAGGGCTTGCACCGCTCACGAAGGCACAGGGCGCCCTCTCGAGGGGTCTTGAAAGCCCGGGCAGGAAAGTGAGCTTGACGGGTTTCTACGCTCCAGAGAATTAGCCAGAGGGAGAGAGAAAGAGAGAGAGAGAGAGAGAGAGAGAGAGAGAAAGACAGACACGGGGACCCAGGCTCTGATGGAGCAAAGGTACTTTAATGATCTTCCTGTAAGTATACATAGACTGTTGTACAAGGAATTTCTTTCAACAATGATAAAGTACAGAAAACCAAAAATGTACAGCAACCGTTACCAAGGGAACAAGGGATTAACAATAGTCATAGGGTCAGGAGACAATCCATATCTCAAGAAAGGGGATCGCGACTAAGCAGTTTTGTCGTAAGGAGAATGTCTACTGAAGGAGATTCACGTAGGTCTCATCCTCAGTCCTGGGAGCAGCGTGCCGTTCCACTCGTTTCTGTTGCCAGAAACTGATAAGGAACAGAGGGTTTATGAGAAGCAGCACGTAGGAATCCTCCTGTTAAACATTCCCTGACAGCCCCTGAGCTATGGTTTGCCCACCTTTGAGCTAAAAAGTTCATGAGGACCCAGTTCACCCCTGCTTTTTCCCTCCCCTTGAAAGTTTCAAACGGCACAGGTGAGCAGGGCTCCCCAGCTGTGGCTCAAACCCTCCTGGGTCCACTTGCCCTCCAGGAGAAACCCACTTTGATTTGTGAATTGATTCTGACATTTTCTGGTCCACATTTTTGGTAGCCTAGTACTTGGCACAGAGCACTTCAGCTGACTTTTCTTGTTAATGACTCTTGTTTCATAAGCCTGTTTGGATGGTCCCTCTGCAACCCCATCCAGCTATGTAACGCTTTTCCAATCTGTGCTGATGGGTTCCTGGAGACCAGAGAGGAAGCCCAAGACTTCCCAAGGGTGCCACTGTCCACAGCCTCACCCACCAGGGTGCTCCCACTCCAAGTCAGGTAGCAAGGCCCTCATGGGTACAAGTGCCCTCTCAAGGTCCCATTTACAAAATAAAATTAAAGATGGATCATTATACATTTATCTGTACATGTGCCTACAGCTTTTTAAAATGGTGGTGAAAGCTTAAAATTTACCATCTGTGAGATGATAGAAAACATGTAGATTGGTCTCTGCCTCCTGATTCTTGGCACACAGCTCCCGAAAGCCTTGCAATTTCCTAGGCGATCAGAGCACTGGAAGCCTCTCTTGCTGTCATATGTGGTTTAGGACCCCATCCTTGGCACAGAGCTCTGGAGAACCTTGTGAATTCCTCAGCGACGAAAGTACTAGGGCTTGGAATTAGCAGGTGCAAACTAGGATACACAGGATGGATAAGCGACAGGGCCCTGCTGTCGAGCGCCGGGAACTGTACCCCACGTCCTGTGATAAACCAGGATGGAAGAGAAAATGAAAAAGAATAATAAATGTGTATAACAGAGTCACTTTGCTGTACCGCAGAAATCAGCACAACATTGTAAGTTAACTATGCCTCAGTAGAATTTGTAAAAAAAAACTACTAGGAGCATCTTTTCTTCTCATGAGGCGACTTTGAGTGGGTTTCTGAATGGTCCCTGGATGGGGGCTGGTCACCAGAAAGACCAGACCGTGATTGGAAGCTTAGAAGTTTCAGCCGCCTTCTCCTTGCTTCTCTAGAGAGGGGAGGGGCTAGAAACGGAGTTAGTGATTGACCATGCCTGCGTGAGGAAGTCTCCATAAACATCCTGCTGGTAGGTGGTCTGGAGGTCCGTGTGGGTGAACTCATCTGTGCAGTAGGATGGCCCCCCCAGCTCGGCGGGGGCAGAAACTCCCGTGCTCAGGCACCCCCGCCCCCAGACCTCACTCTCTGCGTCTGTCCCTCTGGCTGTTCGCCTGTATCCTTTCTCACATCCTTTAATGAAAGTAAACCCAAGTGGTTCCCTGAGTTTTGTGAGCTGCTCTAGCAAAGTAAATGAGCCCGAAGCGGGAGGTGGTCATGCAGCCAGGTCGGGCAGAAGTTGTGGGGACCCACTGCTTGTGATCTGCATCTCAGGTGGGGTCCCCACCTTTGTGGGACCGAGCCCTAGACCTGCGGGACCTGATGTCATGTCTGGGTAGGTGGTGTCTGCCTTGAGTTCAATTGTAGGATACTCAGCTGGGGTTGGGGAGATTTGCTTGGTAAGGTAACCCCCAAACTGCCACATTTGGTGACAGAAGTGTCTGTGAGAAGCGATGCGTTCTCTGTGAGTAGTAAGGGGGACACCCGAGAGAGAAAGAGTGAGTTTTCCTCTTGCACCATCAAAGGAGATCAAACCAGTCAATCCTAAAGGAAATCATCCCTGAGCATTCACTGGAAGACTAATGCTAAAGCTGAAGTTCCAGGACAATCTGTGGTCCTTGGTGTCTGGACTCTGTCACTGAGCATAATGTTTTCAAGCTTCGTGCACATTGTGTCAGTACTTCATTCCTTCTTAAAATTGTTTATTTATTATTTTTACCTCGTGGCCGCACCATGCAGCATGTGGAATCCTAGTTCCCTGACCAGGGACTGAAGCCGTGTGTGCCCCCCACGGTCAGTGGGCATGGAGGGAACCGCTGTGCACCAGGGAAGCCCCAGGACTTCACTCCTTTTTATGGGCAGATAGTATCCCATGGTAGAGCTGGACCTCATTCTGTTACCTGCTTGTTAGTTGCTGGACATCTAGGGTACATCCACCTTTTGGTTACTGTGAGCAGCGCTGCTGTGAACTTGGGTGCACAGGATTGGTTTTGTTATCGAAAGAGGGGGTCCGGTTGCTTGCCGCTCAAAAGCCGGTAAAGAGGCAGGGTTGGTGGAAAGTTTGCTTTATTTCAGAGGCTAGCCATCAGGGGAAAGGGCGGACAACTGTCCAGAGGCTGACTCCCCGTCCCCCTAGACTCCCCACACTGACAGTCAGGGAGCAAGAGGTTTCATAGACAGAGGGTGGGGGTGCTCCACACAGAAACGGCACCGTCAGCTCTGCGAGTCGTCTTGAAATGGGTCCTCGGTGGTCCGGTCAGGGCCGTCTTCGTTGTCCTCAGTCCCAGAGCCAGCTTGTCTCCTCTCTGAGGCCAGTTCTCAGAACGCTGACAGCTCATGTCACAGCTACAGTCCGGTCATCACGCGGTTACCTTCTCCACCTGCTGGGGGTTTCAGTCTCTCTAAGACAGCTCATAGGATATGGCTCACAATATCATCTAAGGCCTTGAAGAAGAACTGTAGGATCCTGACTTTGCTTAGCGACGCCACTCTTATTACTTGGCCTTGTTGGAGTATTCTCCTTTGTTCCTTCATTTTCTCTTTTCTGATTAAGCGTGCTGTCTAGCTGAAGTTTTTCGCAGACAAAGGGCAGGAGGAGGACATAGGGACGGGGGACCACAGGGTCCAGCTCCATTTCAGTTGGAGCACCTGTTTTCAATGGTTTTGGATCACAGATAGGGCTTCCCAGGTGGCGCCCGTGGTAAAGAACCCGCCTACCAATGCAGGAGACACAAGAGATGTGAATTCAGTCCCTGGGTCAGGAAGACACCCAGGAGAAGAGAATGGCACCCCACTCCAGTATTCTTGCCAGGAGAATTCCATGCACAGGGGAGCCTGGCAGGCTACAGTCCGTAGGGTTGCAAAGAGTCAGACACAACTGAGCGACTTAGCACTCAAGCACGGATCACAGATGATTGTCGTTGGAGGCTTACTCAGGGTCCATCCGTTTACAAGAAGCAGAGCAGGGACCCGACTTTCCCGGCGAGCTGGTGGGAAATGCAGCCCGTGAGTTGGGCCGGGACTTCCAGGCGCTGTCTGACCGCTGCAGGTGCTGCAGTGTCTCTCCCGCTCCTTCCCCTCCAGGCTGGGCCCAGGTACTCCCTCTCTCCCCTTCTGAATCTTGAAAAGCCCTTGCCCGCCTCACGCAGTCCTCAGCACCCATGTGCGTGTGAGTGTGCGTGTGCATGTGTGTTAGTTGCTCAGTCCTGTCTGACTCTTTGCGATCCCATGGACTGTAGCCCACCAGGCTCCTCTGTCCATGGGATTCTCCAGGCAAGAACACTGGAGTGGGTTGCCATTCCCTTCTCCAGGGGATCTTCCCGACCCAGGGATCAAACCCAGGTCTTCTGCACTGCAGGCGGATTCTTCACCCCTGAGCCACCAGGGAAGCCCCCACGACCCCCAGACATCCCCTTGAATCAAAGAGAATTGAGGCAGGTCAGTCCTCCTGCAGTCCCAGAGCCCCGCCCGCTCCGGGCTGCCTGGCTCCCTCTGTGACCCCTGCAGGGTCCTGTGGCGGATGTGTCCAGAGCCTGTGACCTCCCTCTTCCTTCCTAAAGGTGGAGGAGGGACACGGCTGCCCTCGGGGTGGGGGTGGGAGTAGGATCTGACTTCACATCTGCCCCGTGGAGGCCCTTAGGGAGGTGGCCTCTGCTTGGGGGTGCTGACAGATGTTGTGAGCCAGGAGAGGTGGCCAGGGGATGTGGGAGACCCCTCTCCCTCAGTGGGTCCTCCCCAGGGGACCCCCTGGGGAATCCCCCAGGGTAGGAATGAGGTGTTTGTCCTTGGATTGAGGTTCAGAGGATTTCTAGGATTCTCTCTCTCTTAAAAACAATTATGTGTTTATTGGGCTCCACTGGATCTTAGTTGTGGCTCACAGGGTCATCAATCTTCATTGGAGTGTGTGGGACCTTTAGCTGTGGCTAAGGGCCTCCCTCTGTCCTTCTTAAAGGTGGAGGTGGGACTCAGCTGTCCTTGGAGTGGGGGTGGGGGTGGGATCTGAAATACCAACCCTTAGTTGGGGCATATGGGATCTAGCTCCCTGACCAGGGATTGAACCTGGGGCCCCTGCATTGGGAGTGTGGAGTCGTAGCCCCTGGACCACTAGGGACATCCCTTGGATTCTCTCATTAGATGCAGAGAAGGCCAGAGCCCTTGGTTCTGAGCTTCTCTTTTCAGATGCTTCTACTATTTCAGAGTGAATGATTCATTAAACTCCAAGGGTCACCATTTGATGGTTCCTAGACCGCCGTCATTGTTAGGGTTTGGTATAATCAAGAAAGTGCAGAATGGGGTGGTGGGAGAGACTGGAGCACACACAGTAGAAGAGGAGACCCGTGCCCTGGTGGAGGGGGCCCTGCCTCCATGGGCCCGGAGCCCCGTGTCTCCCATGGCCTTGACCTCGAGGGGCTGCATTCTCTCTAGCCTTTAAGCCTCTCCAGCACTTCCTGAAGAGCCCTCTGTTCGTTAGATGCTCAGTAATGAGTCCATTAATGTAAGTGAATGATGTCTTCTACTGAAATGAGACTCGGATGGGGCCTGGCAGAGCTCGCCAAGATGCCACCTGGCCCAGACCTTTGGGGTGTTTCTCCCCCGGAAGATGGCATGTCACTTACTGGACATAGAAGTAACACAGGTCCCTCTGCTCCAGACAGAATGAAACTGAAATGTCAATTGGTCTTTTGGGTTCCATTCTGGAAATAATCATGTTTCCTGCCCAGGTCAGCCTTGCTTCAGGTCCTCAGTGGTCTGATTGACAAGGGTTGCGTGAACTCTGTATTCACTTATTAGACTAATGAACAGACTGGATGGTGGCTTCCCAGGGCTAAGCTGCTTTTATGCTCCCTCATATTCCTTGGGCATAACTTACCACTGGGGAACATCTGCATTATCTAATTTATTCCTTTGAAGCATTTCATTTTTGTTGATTGCTGCTTAAAGGTCATTTCCAAATAAACATAGAAGAAAAGGTCACTGCACCCAGCAGAAAAATCGTCATGAAGCAGCTTCGGTCCTGTTCAATTCCAACGCCAGCCTCGGCAGAGCCTGTTCTTTTGGTTGTTTGTGGCTAATTGTGTTGCTGTTGGGGTGTCCCTGGTGGCTCAGTGGGTAAAGAATCCACCTGCGGTGCAGGAGGTGCTGGAGACATGGGTTCAGTTCCTAGGTTGGGAAGATCCCAACCAGGAGGGCATGGCAATCCACTCCATTATTCTTGCCTGGAGAATCCTATGGACAGAGGAGCCTGGAAGGCTACAGTCTATAGGGTCACAAAGAGTTGGACACGACTGAAGTGACTGAACATGCACGCATGCACGCACGCATGTGTTGCCTTTTGCCTCTGGGCTCTGGATTTGGGGGCGGGGATTAGCAGTTGGGTGGCAGTAGGTTCAAATCTTTGCTTATAAAAGTGCAGGCTCAGCTGTGGGTTTTGAAGACGGGGATTAAGTCATTTCCAGAAATCACCAAGGAATAAAACAAATTCTGGCTGGCATGACTAAACAGCTATGCTCCTGGCCCAGAGAATCGTGGATGCAATTTGAAGGGATTTGTTGAGTAGGATTTCGGAAGAATGGCATTTCCCAGGTGACGCAGTGGTAACGGGGTTCCCCTGTGGCTCAGCTGGTAAAGAACCCGCCTGGAATGAGGGAGACCTGGGTTTGATCCCTGGGTTGGGAAGAATCCCCTGGAGAAGGGAGAGGCTACCCACTCCAGTATTCTTGCCTGGAGAATCCCATGGACAGAGGAGCCTGGCGGGCTACAGTTCACAAGGTCACAAAGAGTTGGACATGACTGAGCACATACACGAAGATTTTGGAAGAACACAAGAAAGGGAGATTATGGCAAAAGACCATGGACGTTCAGTTTTGTCTGTGTTTTCCAAATGGTAAAGAAAGAAAAGACTTTAAACTGAGGCTTGTTAGTTTACTGCCAGTCCCAGGGTGTGTGACGGGAGCAGATTATACTGTAGATGGTTTGTGTGCCTCAGAGAAGCTGCGTTGGGGTTATAGATCAGTTTTCTCCATTGGCTTCCTTGGCTGGTAGATGTTCTGGGATTTTAACAAGACATTCACCAATGTCTCGGGCCTGACGCTTGGGCAAGCTGGGTGGGCTTGAGAGCTGCCCACTGGGGCAACATCCCAGGCAGGTGTGAATCAAAACAGAGGGAAGGGGAACCTGCACATAAAGACGGGCTGCCAGGACCCACATGGAAGGACCTGGAGATGAGCGTGCTAAGCCAGGTAAGTCAGAAAGAAAAGACAGTTATCACATGACAGGGCGTACATGGAATCTAAAACACGACACAAGAGACCTTATCTGTGAAGCAGAAACAGACTCACAGACACACAGAACAGCCTGGGGGTTGCCAGGAGGTTGCGGCTGAGGGGGGTGAATCAGGAGTGTGGGGTTAGTAGGTACATGCTATTATATAGAAAACGGATAAACAGCAAGGCCCTACTGCATCTCACAGGGAGCTATATTCCATATCCTGTGATAAGCCATACTGAAAAAGAATATGAAAGGAATATATGTGTGTGCGTGTCTGTGTGTGTGTGTCTGTGTGTGTGTGTATCTGTGTGTGTGTGTCTGTGTGTGTGTGTGTCTGTGTGTGTGTGTGTCTGTGTGTGCGTGTGTCTCTCTGTGTGTGTGTGTGTGTGTCTGTGTGTGTGTGTGTGTGTGTCTGTCTGTGTGTGTGTCTGTCTGTGTGTCTGTCTGTGTGTGTGTCTGTCTGTGTGTGTCTGTCTCTGTGTGTGTGTCTGTGTGTCTGTGTGTGTGTCTGTGTGTCTGTGTGTGTGTCTGTGTCTGTCTGTATGTGTGTCTGTGTATGTCTGTGTGTGTATCTGTCTGTGTGTGTGTGTGTGTGTATATAAGTGAATCACGTTGGTGTAAGGCAGAAACTAACACACCATTGTAAATCAACTCTACTTCAATTAAAAAATAAAAGGATGTGCTGTCAGGTTAAGAAAAAAAAGGGCATGGTCAGGCGATCAAGTGGATTCGGGAGGAAGACAAAAGGGACCTGAAGAGCAGTAAATCAGAAGGGGAACTGGTGGTTGGATGTGAGAGAGAGGGAAGTGAATCCCACAGACGAGCTTTCATTTAAAGAGTGGGGGCAGGGACTTGCCTGGTGGTCCAGTGCTTAAGACTCCAAGCTTCCATCCCAGGGGTCGTGGGTTCCATCCCTGGTCGGGGAGCTAAGATCCCACATGCTGTGTGGTGTGAATGAAAAGTAAATAAATAACAAATAAATTTTAAGTAAGCGTCTTTTTTAAAAAAGTTAAAAAAAACCCAAGAGGGGGCTCGGGTCTGTGCTCAGTGGCTGCGTCCTGGCGGCTCTGGGGCTCCTGTCTCACGGGTGGGGAAATGGAGGCGCTGTCTGTAAGCGGGCTCGCGCGCTCGGCCGCGGAACCCCGTGCTTCTCTGGGGCGCGCTGGCGCGTCAGCGCACGTTGCTGTTTCGCTGCTCAGTCGTGTCTGGCTCTTTTGTGACCCCGTGGACTGTAGCCCGCCAGGCTCCTCTGTCCGTGGGGTTTCCCAGGCAAGAACACGAGTGGGTTGCCATTTCCTTCTCCAGGGGGTCTTCCCGACCCAGGGATGGAACCCGGGTCTCCTGCATGCATGTATACACCCCTGTACA